GCTATATAGGATTTTAAAACTGCCAACCTTTCATTGTTTTTGAATTTGACGAGAAATTTAACCTTACTCGAAGGATTGAAAAATGAAAACTCAAGTCAAGAGTCTTCAAAAAGAAGATGGTCTTCACTATTCAGGGCAGTCGGCGACTAGGCATAGAGAAATGAAGAGACATCATAGAAGAAAGAGAGGAGAAGGCAAAGAAGGAGGAGGAGAAATGGAGAATTTTGAAAGTCTAAAGGGTTTCAATTTTCAATAGTTTCAGGCTTTGAACCGGCCCAACCGTATAAACCGGGTACGGGTCAAGGGTTTTATGAAAACCGAGCGGGTCACCGATTTTTAAGGCAGGTTTTAATCACCAAACCGACATGGTTTTCGAAAAACAACATTAGAGCCTTGGCAAAACCAGCAGCAATTTTTTTGGAAGTTTAATTGGGCCCCAAAAACTTAAATTATCTGTGTCCGCCACTATACGGATCAGAAAACAACATAAGCAAATACTTGTGTTTTAGGAAAGTAGAATGTAATTTTTATCTTTCTAAAAGAAAATTTAGTTATTTTTGGACAGTGAAAATAGTCCATAAGGTCTCTTAAACAACCCATTTTCCCCCAACAAGAACTAGAGAATCTAAATCAGTGTAAAAAGACAATGAACTTGTTTTAGAAAAGCTCTTCAATGAATCTCACATCCCAACCACAAAAAAGAAAGCCCTCTAACGTACATAAAAACAAAAGAAAATATAAATATAAAAAGATCATTTCTTGTTTACACACCTTATAATTGACAATTATTGAGCGGTCATCAAAACAATATTTATAACATAGCTCCTCCAATACTTAAGTTAGATATTGTGGACGTGAGACTTGAGGGAATACTAACACTATAGAGATGGAAAATAAGGGCGACCTATTCTTGGGGGGCCTCCCTGGTCTTCTAGATTTGATTTTGGAAAATATGATATTTAATTAAGGATCAATTTTTATTTTTTTTTACACAATGAGATCCCAGATTGATTAGCAGAACTAAAGACTGGACAGAATCTAAGGTTAATTGAGCAAATTATTGAATGAGATTCAATATTGACCAGGGAGAGAGGAATTATCGTGGATAGAGAGGCTGGATTAGCAGGTTGACGCATACTTGTAGACAATTATTGGAAATGAATCTTTAAGCTGTATCTTCATGATTTTTTGTCAGATGAGAAGACTACAGAACCTAACCTGAATATTTATTTTCTAAAATGAAATATAGACTGTAGTGGAATTTTAACCGATGTCAGTTGTCACAGCAATGTGTGGAAAACGAGTCCATGGTAGAACAGCTTTTCAAGTCTCACTTCTTTAAAAACAAATAACCACAGCATTCTGAATATTTATGTCATTCATAAAAAATAATAATAAAAAATAAATATTACAGAATTAAGCAATTATAGAAATTATGATACATCAGAGTACCTTGATTTCCTGGTAAACGACGAAATTCCTCACTTTGAATGGTGAATTCTTTATTCTGATATGAATACCCAATGTTACGATCTTGCATCAAGCCTACATAATAAGAAAAAAAATCATGGTTTTAGAGAAGAACTGCACATAAAAACTTTACAGTCAATCTTTAAAAATAATTACCGTGCTGTCCTAGATAATCACGGGCAGAAGATAGATGCTTGGAAAATTTGTACTCGTTTATATTGGAAGTAGCACTTCCAAGAGCAATCACATCATTTAGCAATGCCATAAAACCGTAATTATTGTTTGGGGAGAGTGGCATACCCTGAGCAGAGTAAGAGTTGCCTTGCATATTTACCATTTGTGGAGCTGAAAATTCAGAGTGTCACTTACTTAACACTAATATATATATCACTATTAGATGTAGTCGTGGTGTAAAAAACTTTTATTTCCACCCAAGGAAAATAATGTTGATATGAAGTGATATAAAAGCATGCTGTCTCAAGCAGTGTTGATGTTACTATAATTCAAATCAATTACCAGTTAAGTTAATGTGAGAAGGTCCAGCCTGGTTAGTAACTCCAGCGGCACCTAAACCCCCAATACCAAGATTATCCAGAGAGTTAGCAATGCATCCGGTGTTTTCTGCATATGGAAAGATGCCTTGTCCTGAAATAAGGTTTTTGAAAAGCTTAGAAACCAGAAAACCCAGAGGAACATTGCAATATGCAAATTAGTAGTATATATTGCAACTACCATAACCTCCAACATTCGTAAAATGTCCATTTGAGCCTCCAAGATTTAGCTGCATCAAAAATACAACATCCATCATGGAAAATTTTGTATTCCTAAGACACGTGTTACCCGGCCCACATAGAAAAACTATTTATTGTAACATTAATTGCAATATTTTTGGGGCGATTTTTCCCAACAAAGCATAAAAATAAATTGATATACCTGTGAAAGTGTATTTTGAGGATTAATTATTGAAGTTCTCCCATTAGACGTATTCGCTGCAACTTGTTCAACACATTGCGAAATACCAAAATAATTCGCTGAATTCCCTGATGCATCAGGCCAGTGCACATTTGATATACTGACGTTCCCGTGAACCTTGTGCAGCCCTTGTACAGTTCCTGCTTATGCGACAAGAAATGTTATTTCGTTTTGTATCATATACATTTATAGTTAATATAAATGTTTCCATTAATCTATCTAATGATCTGAACAAGTTTTCATCTTCTTTTTCAAAGTGTCCAGGTAGAAATTTTCATAACCAAAGATGTGGACAGTGTATACCGCAAGAGTGATTCAAAACACCATTGGAGGAACTAGACTGAGGAGGAAAGGGTGTGCCAGAAGCTCTTTGTAGGGTGTCCTGAACTTTTGAATTTGATCCATCTGATGTTGGCTGCATCCACATTATCAACATAAATCTTGTGTAACAGAAAATGCAAAATCAAAACACACGAAAGCTTTACAAATTTAATATATTCTTGTCTGAACAACTATAGATCCATATTGAGTTTAAAAGAACTTTATATAATTACTGTAAACCAGGGATAAATCAATTTCAAAATTTATTTTAAAACAAGTATAATGCATAAACAAGCTTTATTAAATGATGTTATTTTACCAGGCACAGAAATAATAGATGAACTAGACGATGCACGAAGAAAAAGATCTTACATTGAACATGCCCGACATTTTGTAGAATTTTTCGCAACAAAAAGAGCAAGTCACTCGTCTAAAAAGAGCCTTTTGTGGTCTCAGGTGCAACTCCGGGCTCCCCCTTGTAAAGAAAAAAAAACGAAAGCATTAAAAACATTTGAATAAAATTCGACCACTTAAATGACCAACCGTTTCAGTTTTCGGGAAGGAACAAACATTCAATTCATATGACGATAACGAGGTGAAGTAGTTAAACTAGCCACATTGAACATTAAAGTTTTACTTCCATTTTCATGTAAAAGTAGAACATCATCCATTATAGCCATCAAACAACTTCCTTGAGTCTGTGTACAGATTATTACAAATCGGTAGGAGCGAGGCTTAATTAAATTACATAAAATCAATGAATTGGAATGAGCGTGAAGAAATTAATATATTCTTCATTATCAACTATGATAATTCTTGTTTCACAATTCAAAGATATGACTTTGGCTTTGTCAACTCGTTTGATTTGGGAACCAAGCATGACTAGGCCATCGTTGTATTGGTAGAGGGAAGGAGCAGGGGTATACGGTAAGTTTTTGTACCCATACAATCCTATCAATATCATAACTACATTTTCCACCAACAGTTTTGTCCCGCCATGTGTACCATTATGATTGTGAGCCTCTATGCATCTGATGGAAAAAAATACATAAAGAGAAACAAATAGATCATGCTTTACAGATTACTCGAATAGAATTTTTCTAAAACGACAAATGGAATTATTTTGTCTTATTCGACATCTCTAGATTTCAGAAATTAATACATTTTTGGTAATAATAAACTCAAGCTACTATGCTTTGACACTTGTGCTGCAAACTCAATCATTAAAAATTTTATACGCTTGGGCATGGACTTTCACCACCAAGCCATCTCCCATATTAGGATCATATTTCAAGTAACTAAGCAAAGTAAAACTACCATTTTA